GGGACCGGCAATGGGATTGCAACCCTCGGTGCTGCTCCTGCGCCTCGCTCAGCCAGTGAGCGGGAACCGGTCTGTATGTGGGATCCGAACCCTCGGGCGGGAGCGCCGCCGCGCTTCCCAAGCGGCACACTTATCCAGTGCACCACCGGGCCGGCCCTGAGATTTTTTTTTAATTATGTGTTTTTGGTAAATGTCAAACACTGGCGTTACTGAGTTAAAAGATATACACAGTTTTAAGGATTTAGATGCATGGTGTCAATTGCTTATCAGAAGGATACGTGAATTTGTTCTGCAGGTACACACTCCCTCTCTAAATCATTAGGCTAAAGTTTCGTTCATTTACTTCAATTTTCTATTTTTATTTATTAGGAACCTTCCTTCGTAAGAGGCATTGAATTCCGCTGATGCCTTTTCTGGGTCTAAAGTGATTTCTTTTTCTTAACATTTGAATGTGTTAAACTCTTCCTCCACCCCTTAAATTTTATGATCTTACCTTTACTTATCTAACACAAGTTACTTGCTGATATTCAAATATATCTGAGGTGGCTTACGTTGAGATACATATGCAATATGGTTTAAACAGAAAATAAAAATCCTTGAAGAAAAAAGATATAAATAGAGCAGTCACCTTGAAACGTAGCTGTGATAATTGCATATCAAATTGACGACCTCTGGGTGTCTTCACAGCCAAGAGAAAAGAAAAGCTTTAATTACTCAAATACCCCTCAGTGCTTTATTAAAAAGAAAAATGAAGCCAGTTCTATGGCCAATAAACTCTTCCTACCATTAAATTATTTTAAAAAGTATTGCGTTCATGTGCCTTCAAGGGACATTATATAACCCTACAAATAATAGCTCTTTAAAAGGAGATTTAAGACATAAATATAAAAGTCATAGCCATAACGTATTTACAAGAGCAAAACTGAAAAGATCCAGCTCTCTGTGCTTTTGGTGATGGAATTACCCACAAATAGACATGTCCCTTGCTTTTCCACTGCTGTTGAACTGATTTTATCACTAATTCCAGTTATCTTCAAATTTTCCTTTAAACTGCTTGAACCAAGGTGCGAAGAATTTAATACCTGCTTACGCACTACTGAGCTTGCACTAGATGTGAGAAGAATTCGTGATAACGTGGTTATCCTGCCAGATTGTTTGTGTGGATGCCTTTTATGATCTGAGGCTAATCAAGGAAAAGAGAGAGAGAGAGAGAGAGAGAGAGAGAGAGAGAAGTGGGCATTGTGCAGGAGGTGACCAGACCAGCCAGCACAGCCTCTAAGAGCAAGTTGATTTTCATCGGAAATGTGCTAAACTCTTAATGGGGTGTAATACATCCGTGGCTTTTCTTTCCGTGTGTGTGTGTGTGTGTGTGTGCATGCGTACACGTGTGTGTGTGTTTGTGGCTGTCCAGTACAGGGATCCGAACCCATGACCTTGGTGTTATAAGGTATTTCTAACATTATAAGAAATATAACTGAGGTTGAAAGTATAATTATAAAACAAGATAACAGGTATATCAAGCCCAAAGAATGCGGGTGGACCTACATGAATATCAGATAAAATTAACTTTAAGAAAGAAAGTGCTATTGGGACATACAGACTGACTGCCTAATCACAAAAGTGACACTTTACCACGAAGCTATCCAGGTTTTCAATACATGCACTTCGTATAAAATAGCCTATGTAAAGCAAAAATTGGGTAATTCTGACATCAGAGTGGGAGATTCTAACAGATGTTTCCCAAGCATTGAAAATCCAAATGAGGGAAAAAAATCCAGCAAGGTATAGGAGATCTCAACAACCCCTTTAACATGCTTAAACTAACTGTAAACTAACTCTAACTATAAAATATGACTGTAAACGAACTATATATAGTTATATAACTATATAGTTATATGTAATTTGTATACATACAATTTATATGTATAATTTATATATATTTATATTATACACTCTATTTTATATAGTGTATATTTATATATATTAGTTTATAGATATAGTTTAGATAACTGTATCTAACTATAAACTATAGATGTCTGCTTCCCGCAATGGGAGAATACACAATTTTTGCAAAGAGATAAGGACAAATTTACACATAATCTTAGCAAAGACGCCTCAAACCATAAAGAAAGCATCCACAGATTTTGAAGAATGGATAACACAGTCCAAGATTTCTGACCCCAGTGCAATTAAGTCACGAGTGTGTCAGAAACAGAAGAACCTGAAAAAGCCGCACACCTGGGGAAACTGGACAATGAACTGGGAAAGGGGCCGTGGCCAACAGGAAGGGTTGCAAGTGGACGTGGCCTGGGGCCTGGGCTCTGGGCAGAGGGGACGTGGCCACGCAGGGATCAGCCTCTGACCCCTTCTCCTCTGTCTCTTGGCAGCCACTTTTACTCGCCCCACGGAGCCTATGCCCAGAGCAAGCTGGCTCTTGTGCTGTTCTCCTATCACCTCCAGTGGCTGCTGGTGGCCGAGGGAAGTCATGTGACTGCCAACGTGGTGGACCCCGGGGTGGTCAACACGGATCTCTACCGGCACGTCTTCTGGGGCACACGTCTGTTCAAGAAGCTCTTGGGCTGGCTGTTTTTCAAGGTAGGCCTCCTCTGGTTTTTTGTTTGGCTGTTTCTGCTTTTGTGACCCATGCAAGCCACCTGCACGTTGTGTATTTGGTGTTTGGTGCAAAGACTGAATTCTCTAATGGAGTCTTCTCACTCTAGCACCTGGTTGTCCCTGAACTTGGTGGGTGACCCTGCATAGTTTCATGACTGAGCCACAAATGAATCTTCTGCTGAGCTTGAGATGCTGTTGGTGGCAGCTCCTGCCTCCTGGGATGACTGCCAGCCCTTCTGATGGGATACCAGCCATTTAGAAATTGCACAAGGTGCCACTTGGAACCATAAAGGAAGATAGATTTGTTATATCAACACAGACTCCAGTGTAAACGCCACAGGGGGCTTGGGGCCTAAAATCCCTGATAGCTGAGAGAAGAGGCCAAGCTGTAGAACATACCCCTATGTATTCAAGGAGTCACTGGTATTTTCCAAAAAGGAAAACATAGATTTTGGATCACAGGAAAGTGAGAGATTTTCTGCTGCTACCAAAGACCCACATAATGAAAGTATTTCTTAACATCAACTTCTGGTTGATTTTAGAACGCAGTTTCTGCTTTCGCGGTTCCCCACGACCCTGTGGAGGGGTAAGATTATCTATTCTTCCCATGTCATGTTCATGGCTGAGGACCCGTTAGCAAAAGACAGATTAACAAGAGAAAAGCATGATCATTTATTTAATATAAGTTTAATGCTCTATGGCAGACTTCAGAAACAAAGACCCAAAGAAACAGGGAAACCTGTGTGTTTTTATGCTAAGTTTGATGAGCAGTGAACAGATGTGGAGAAATACGATTGGACACGGGGGCTGTGACCTAATGGTCATCAACTGGGGGGACTTAGCAAGGCCTGCGTGTTCAGAGTCTCCCCTGTGTCCCACGTCTTCAGAGACGAGGACGTCCCAGTCCTCCAGGTATAAGGAGGGGACCTGCCAAATGAGGGTCTCCTGACCTGCTTCAGGGGAGGGTTGGAGGGTCCTTCCTGGTCTCATGACCCACTTCAGGGGAGAAGGGTAAGGAAAGGGTAGAAGAGAACTTGCTGCTTCTGGGCTTTGCTCAAATTTCTTCAACTTAAAATATTCTGGGATAGCGCGTCTCACCAAAGTCCTTAATGGAACCCAAACTGACCTTGCTGAGCAGGAGGGGATTTTTCATCAGCTTGTGCCATTTTCTCAAATGCCAAGGTGCCACATTTTGAGATAGCGTGTCCTGAACCCCTTCACCGGACTATTTGGCCTGTTTATTTTTCCAGATCACCTTTTAGATAATTTGCAAATTGAGGAAAACTCAATCTGTGATAAGCACACGGTGTTTATTTATTCATTCACTGTTCTTCGGACATTGAGGTTGCTGTTGGCTTTTCACTGTTTGTATAATCAGCATAACAAAAATTAATTGTTAGTGGGTGTTGGGGGGTGTGGATTTTTAAATTGACTTCGGGAGCGTTGAGGTTTCAGACGTGGCTGTGTCCTGTCTGAGACTGGGTGGTCTCTCCCAACGGTCATGCCCTCCACGATGTCTTCTAACTTCTCTGTGCATTTTTTCTTCCATGTATTCCTGATTGTTTTATGAAGTTTTGGCGTTGATTTGTTTGTTTCTCTTACGCACAGGGGTTTTAAAAATTGTGGTCTATGAATACAACAAAATAAAATATTTTAGAGTCAATAATAAAATGAGCACATGGACCATAGGAGCAGAAACGGGGTGGCCCCTTTCTTCTTTGTTATTAGGGTCATGGCTGACACCCCTATAACAAAGGCAGCTTGGCAAGACAAGAGCAAAACAAATTTATTTAATCATAGTTTGCATGACGCGGCAGCCTTCAGAATGAAAGCCCATACATTCAGGGGAAGCTATCTCTGATTTTATGCTTATACGACTGCACAAAAAGGGGATGATCAAAGCTGATAGACTGAGTGGGGAAACCCAGCAAGCTCTGCGTGTTCAGATCCCTCTTGGCCTGTCTCTGCAGCATTCCTTCCTTGTGGGTATGGGGCTGGACCCGTCTGGAATGGGGGTCTTATCACCTACAGTCAGACGACGTAGGTCAGAGTATTTCTTTGTGGACAACTCTTACACAGAAAGGCAAGGGAAAGTTTGAATCATGTTTTTAGGTTTTTGGCTGGCTTTGGGGAAAGGGATTCTGGTTTGTATAACCACCTTGAGGGGTGGGAGACAAGAGGTCAGGGGATGGTTGTAGAGAATTTGCCTCTGAGACTGCTCCTGAGGCCTTCGCTTTTGGGGTACCCTTCTCTGAGCCTCAATGTCCTTCCCTAAATGCACCTTGCTTCCTCCAAAAAGATGGAACCCCTATTTCTAATGGTTTGTTCCCCATTCTCTTGCTTCTTCTTATAAATTTGCCTCACACATATGTGTCTGTAATAGTTTAGTTTTGCATTTCTCCATCCACATGTAAACAGAATACGATCTGCTTTCTTTGCTTAGTGTATTCGTTTCCTGAAGCTGCCTTAACAAAATACTACAAACTCGGGGGAGAGGCGGTGCTTAAAATTACGCACATTTGTCCTCTCCCAGCTCTGGAGGCAGAAGTCTGAGGTCAGGTGTGGCAGGGCCGTGCTCCCTCCAGAGGCTCCAGGGGAGGATCCTTCCTGCCTCTTCCAGCTCCTGGTGGCTCCAGGTGTCCCTGGACTTGTGGCCGCATCACTCCAGTCTCTGCCTCCATCTTCACGTGGCTTCTCCTCTGTGTCTGTATCTCCTCTTCTGTCTCTTGTGAGGACACCAGTCATTGGATTGGAGTCTATCCTAATGCACTATGACTTCATCTTAACTAATTATATATGCAAAGACCCTGTTTTCAAATAAGATCTCATTCACAGGTATAAGGCATTAGATTTTAACATGTCTTTTGGGGAAACACAATTCAACCTGCAGCACTTACTATTAAATATCTGAGATCTGTCCATGTTGACACATGTGAAAGTAGGTTATTCCCTTGCATCCCTGCAGAGTATTTTTTTAATTAATTTTTTTGTTGAAACATATTGATAGTACATATTTATGGGGTAGATAGCTGTGTATCAATACATGCATACCATGTGTGATGATCTAATCAGGGTAATTAGCATGTTCATCATTGCAAAACTTAATTATTTCTTTCCGATGTGAATTTAATGTGCATAGACAATTCATTTTAAATCCATTCTCAGAGCAAGAGACATGTGGGTTGTTTCCAGTTCTTTGCTGTTACCAGCAGCATTGCTATAAAGTTTGCTATGCACATCTCCCATCTCCATGGCTACTCCTGCCTCAGTTTCTCTAGGGAATACAGCACACAATGGCATTTTAAGGTTATAGGGTTTGCACATGCCCACATTTTCTGGAGAATTCCATGTTGTTTTCAAAGGCAGTTGTACCCTTTGAAAACCCCACAAGCCTAGTATTGGGATTTCCAGCCTTCTAGGTGTTTTCCAACACTTCTCAGCCTTGGACTTTTCAATTTTTGCCATCTTTTGTCAGGCTGTCAGTCTCTTTAATCCTGGAGCATGTGAAATAGCAATCAGTGAATTTTAATTTGCCTTTCCCTGAATGCCTTTGTGGTCCAGCATCTCCTCATTTAATTACTTCTCACTTAGTCTTTGCTTTGTTGAAATGCCTAATGGTGTGTCTTTGGCTGTTTGTCTGTGGGTCATTAAGTCTTTCCGTTGGTAACTCGTAGCCAATCTTGATTCTAGTTGCTATTCCTTTGTTGGTTATGTCGTTGCAGATATGTTTTTCATTGTATTTTCTGATTCAAAGGGTAGATAAGAAAGTAATTGATTTTATAAATTATATCATTGGCACCTTACTATTTCTAATGGGTTTTCATTCTCTCATTTTTTTTTAGCTGGATGATTATTTAATCATCAAATGCTGCAAATGCTGGTCATTTTGCCTCCTTTCTAATATGTATTCTTTTTAAAATTTTCTTCTCTACTCTACAGGTGATACTTAGTAAGAAAATTAAATAACAGATTGTGTAGGTGGCCCCAGTGATCTTATTTATTATTTTGGGAAGAAAGTACTTAATGTTTCTCTATGTGAATACTTCCATATATTATTATTTCATTATTGTACTTTATTATATACTATTGGAATATCATTCCCCTATTTTGCTTTTAAAAATAAAATATTGATGTCGAATTTTACAAAAAAAAAAAAATCTTCTCTATTGAGGGCAGGGGAAGGCAAACTATGCCCCACAGGCTTGCCACTTGTTTTTATAAATAAAGTTTTATTAGAACAGAGCCACATCCATTCATTTGCATATTGTCTACGGCTGCTTTTTTGCCACAATGAATAGTTGCAACAGAGACCAGACAAATGTGTTCATTATGTGTCTGTCCCTTTACACAAAAAGTTTACTGACGTATTTAGAAAGATGATTATATTTTGTTGCCTTTAATCCCCTGTTTTGTTAACATGTTTCAGTATGTTCCCTAGAACTGGACAGTCCCACATTTCTAGGCTGATTCTTCTTGTCACCGTGCATAATTTTATAATGTACCACAGGGTTTTGTGTCCCAGGCTGTAGTGGATTGAATTATGTTCCCCCTGATCTCATTGAAGCTTGAATTGTGTCCCCCAAATTTTGTGTATTAGAAACTTAGCCCGCACTGTGACTGTTAAGAGGGTGGGAAATCCTTTTATGGTAATTGAAAGGTGGGGCCCTGAAGAGGTGATTGGATTGTAGGACCATGCAGTAGTGAATGGATTAATAATGGTGGTCAGGGGTGTGGTTCTGAGGGCTTTAAAAGAGGAAAGAGTCTCCTCTCTCTCTCTCTCCCTCTCCCTCTCCCTCTCCCTCTCCGTCTCTCTCTCCGTCTGTCTCTCCCTCTCCATCTCCCTCCCTCTCCCGTCTCTCTGTCTCTCTGTCTCTGTCTTTCTGCTTCCACCATCTTGCAATGTGAGACCCCTGGGTCACTGTCACCACCACCAGATGGCCCTTGGACTTCTCAGCCTCGGAAACTGTAAGCAATAAATGTCA